GACTCAAGTGACTCCAGGATAGCTTGGAAATGACTGTGACGATTCCGATGACCACGTAACGACTTCAGAGCACTATATGACGACTGTGATGACCCTGTGACGACTCCGTGATAACTGACGGCCCTGTGATAACTCGTGATAATTCCCGATCGGTAACTCATCCACCACCCGCTGACAGGTAGTCCAGGCGACTCGGTGGCGACCGTGAAAAAGGCGGACATGACCTGTAGCTCTGTGATGCGCTGGCCGGACTGACCTGCAGCTCTGTGACGAGCTGGACGGACTGACCTGCAGCTCTGTGATGAGCTGGCCGGACTGACCTGCAGCTCTGTGACGAGCTGGACGGACTGACCTGCAGCTCTGTGATGAGCTGGCCGGACTGACCTGCAGCTCTGTGATGAGCTGGCCGGACTGACCTGCAGCTCTGTGATGAGCTGGCCGGACTGACCTGCAGCTCTGTGACGAGCTGGACGGACTGACCTGCAGCTTTGTGATGAGCTGGTCGGACTGACCTGCAGCTCTGTGACGAGATAGCCGGGCTGACCTGCAGCTCTGTGACGCGGACTGACCTGCAGCTCTGTGACGAGCTGGCCGGACTGACCTGCAGCTCTGTGATGAGCTGGCCGCAGGAGGCCTTGAGGCTGCAGTGGAACTGGCTGACCCGCAGACCGCTCTGTGACGCCGCCTTCGGTGCCCAGCTGTCCCGCAGGCCCGAGTAATGCGCCGTCATCTTCTGCGCGATCTGGCAGGACGCGACAGCTAAGGTCAGCTCAGGAGAAGGTACGTACATAACAAACGTCACATGATGACCTGGTCTCCCGCCGACTATGTAGCCGGCCGCATCCGCATGGTACCCGACCCGAAATGGACAGCTCTGGTGTGACTCTGGTGTGACAACTCAATGTAGCTCTGACAGCTCTGGTGTGACACTGGTGACAGCTCAATGTAGCTCTGGCAGCTCTGGTGTGACTCTGGTGTGACAGCTCAATGTAGCTCTGACAGCTCTGGTGTGACACTGGTGTGACAGCTCAACATAGCTCTGACAGGTCTGGTGTGACCACCTCTCCGCCTCCCCCTCCCCCCCCCCCCCCCCCAGATGGATACCCACCACACGGCCGCCCCGGCCGTTTGCACGACGGGACAGCTCCACACGACCAGACCGCCCCTGAGGAGCACCAGCGGCGGCGGCTGCACCCCGCCCACAAACCTGGTCGTCGTCGTTGTCCATGATGCTGACGCCGTCCTCCGGCGAGTTGTCCCGCTTGGTCAGCATGAGGCTGGAGGCCTGCCGCTTGGCGATCTTCTTGGACTTGCCCACACCTGCAGTGTGTCGTCCGGTCAGCTATTTCTGTATTTCTGGAGTGCAGCAACGCATGCCATCCATCCCGCTCGCGCACCAACTTCCCTCAAACCTGGCGCAATATCCAATCGGTGTCTTTCAGCGCACGTCCAACGAGCAATCAAACGTTAACGCGAGGCATCGCCGTGGCCCGGCAGAGTAGGCCCCGCCGCCCGCTGGTGCTCACCGATCTCCTTGTTGTTGGTGCCGATGCAGCAGGCGATGGTGAAGGTGCGCTCATGCGGCAGGCCCTCCTCGCGCACCAGCTCGTAGGTGGGCGGCGGCCAGCGGCGCGACATACACAGCTCCTGCAGCTGGCCCACCGGGTTGCCTGGAATACCGTCGTCATAGGGCAGCACCAGCTGGGGGGCAGGCGGCGGCAGTGCCGGTGGCGCCGGCGAAGCTGTCGCTGCTGCTGTTGCCGGCGCCGGCGCAGGCAGCGCCAACGGCGGCACCACCGGCGCCGACGCCCGCTGACCCAGCAGCTGGTCCAGCACGGCGCGCGCCGCCATGTGCTTGGCCTTCTTCTTGCTCTGGCCGAGACCGCTGGCCACCACCTCGCCGACGGTGGCTCGGTACAGGAAGGTCGGCTCGTGCACGGCGCCCTCCACCTGCGGGCCAGGTCCGGGCAGACGCTCAGCAGCCGCACCACACATAGACAGCTCAGCAGACCGTCATGGCAGGTTCCGAATGAGTGGGGGAGAGGCACCAACAAACAGCAGTCAACTGGGTACGGACTGTTAACATTTCGTACGGAATAGGCCCTTGGATTTTTACCTGTTGTTATGTCAGAATAAATTTTCTGAAAGGCAGACAACCAGCAACCACAAGTATTCCACAAAGTTCACCACCGAAACCGCTATCTAAATCGACACAACGTGCTACGGGGCACCGTCAAACTTATCACTACGCTCCTCAGGATCGTCACCAAATCAATCCGCGCACAACAGCTGGGTTTGGAAATGGCAGAGACGTCAATACGAGCAGGCGTTGCCCCGCTCCGCCAGTGCACGACGTGCGCCGAGACTGCCGACGGACGGAGCCCGGATCCTGGACTGCTGCCAACATTCGGCTCCAGGGACATTCCACAGGCTTGTGTTGCACAGGTTGATCCAGAGATATTATGGGCGGCCCGGGTGACGCCAGAGGTTCATGGAGACCTCAGAACCGCGCGGACGACGGAGGACACGGACAGGCCCGAGGACACCGGAAAGTACGGAACAAGTGAATGGAGGCCAGCGGCTCCAAGTCGCTGACAACCATGCGATAAGCTAGAGGACATGCAAGGACACTGACCATGCAAGAGGACAAAGAAAGACATGGGAGACGTTGGGTGCCGTGGAAAGGACCCCTGCACGGCAGAGGACAACGACAGACTATGGGAATATTGCAGAACACGGACAGATACCGATTACGTTAAAGAATGCGACAGCCCAGGGAATCAAAAGGACACGGATAAATTCACCATAGATATGACACGGCATGGTCTCTGCTGGAGTAGGACTATCCAGCTGAATTTATGGCCGCGTTTCATTTCAACCACCGTGTTATTGGTAGATAAACACAAGCCCCGCCCACTCGAATGCTAGGCCGTTTCATACCACCTATTGACTACTGGAAAGCGTTACATTAGCCGCGCATTTGTGCCTATCAAATTTGGGAAGAAAAATAAGTCTGTGTGCTTAGCAGCAGTCACCTATCATCAAGTCGCAGGCTTAAAAATATTAATGCCCCGCTAAATCCCTAGTAGCTCGCACATCAACTAAAAAAGACAAAGTACTAACATGATGTCGCCTGCGCCGCGCGCCGCCATGTTCATGGACGCCCCGCCGACTACCGAGATGTTAAAACGTTTGCCAGCCCAGTAGTCGACAAGTGTGACGTCACACCCTCCGCGTCACGAATCCATCATGGCCGCCCGACCAACCATAGAAACAGGATTTCGACTATTGGTAGCACGCTAGTTGGGACGAAACGGGGCCTTTGCTACCAGTCCAACTTCTTGGCTGGGACCTGTCAAACTAACTTCATCCAGGAATAAAACGCCAGCCACAATCATTACACCCAAACGCTTAGGCACACCGGATAGGAGAAAATATCGCCGGTGGGAGCAGTCCGATTTCACTTCGCCCGCCGAGTCATACCACATAACGCTAGCCCCGGCGCCGACCCGGTGCGTGTTCGCCCAGCGCCGGACGCGGCCACCCCCATCTGAGCTGAGAACGTATGACCTCTCCGCTCCCGGGGCACGGCTGCCGACCGTTGGTTCAGAGCGGGCCGCGGCTGTCCACAGTAGCCACCCTCACATCGCGAACGGGTGGTGCTGGAGACGTGGGGCGGTGACTTGGAGCTACTCATGCCAGAGCCCCTTTTCTTGACAGTGTCATCTACCGCCTCTCGCATATCATGTTGCCTGTTAGGCGAGCCAGTGCATTTCCACCTAGGGTTTCAATTTCACGAAGCACGCACTTGACTAAAACGACAGAGGAAACCTACACGATGCAATTTTAAGTATGAGCGCCCACAGTTCGCCACGTTTTCCAATACACACTCGTCGCGCGTTGCAATGCACTCGGTGGAAACGCGTCCCATGTCACATTTCTCCGTTTGTGTCAGTTTGTTTTAATGCAACGCGCCCCGCGTTCATCGCCAAACTACTTCTACCGCCCGTGTCATAAGCGCCCATTCACGTCGAAGCCCCAAACTCTCGGCATAGTTCGGAGTTTACTCTCAAACATCTGCATACAATATCCTATGTTTTGGAGAAACCCTGGCTGACAATTTAGAGTGATCATGAATCATCAACAGATGGGCGAATGCGTATGGTGTCGTTATGCGATAAGGACGCTACTATGAGTATGACAGGGAATAAAGTGCACAGGGTAAGAAATAGGGATGGCAGTTGGACGATCATGTTACTTGGTTTTTGGTGATGTGGCGTCATCAAAAGAACTGAAAGGCTGAAGCCGGTCGCCACGAAGAATGAAGAAAAGGCCAAGGAGGAGCACTCGTTGCTGAAATCTGGAAAGTGGTACTTGACCAAAATCTCATGTTCCTCAGAAGTTTTGTAGTTCCCTAAACAGCTTAGGGATCCTGAATAGATAAAATCTTACCAATACCACCTAACACTAAAATGAAAGTGGACAACTGACCCACAAGCCTCGAGCCCCTAACATTGTCTAAATGCATAAAACACCGCAATGCCCCACAGTGCGCCCTAGCGGCGTGCCCCGCCGACGCCGTTCGCCCTCGGCCGCGACGCGGCACCATCCAGGTGTCACCCACCTGGAGCAGGTCATATTTGGGCGTGGAGCCTTGCTTTGCAGCCATCTCCTGCAGCAGCGAGACGGGCGTCTTGGGCGCCACACCCGGCGTCACCAGGTCCAGGGTCTGCAACACCAAGACACAGGCACGTCAGCGTCTAGTGCGACGGCTAGGTGACAAATCATGACATGAGCATGAATGGATGCGATGGATGCACGCATGCGTAAATTACACGTTATGACATTCGATAATGCGGGCACTCACTGTCGTACGTTCTTCTAGGGCCTGGCATCAGTTTGCAATGTGGCCAGCTTCCATGTCAGCTTTGCATCACATAAACAAAGCATGGCGTTTAACTATGCTATTTTGGTTTTACGGAGGTGTTTAAAGGTTTTTGTCTTCACGCACTAAAGGTTGCTCAAAAAAGAACAGTTGATGTTTCCTTCCCTTCCATAGTTCGCCCAAGTAGCACAGATGGTAAGAGCGCCTGAATTCCGATTCGCCCAATGTTGGAGGAGAGGGTTCGAGTCGCATTACGCGCTCATCATTTGGCCTCGGCTGGCACGGACTGCCGCCGGTAACGGCGGATGCGAGAAAGGCCAGGGTGACGTGGGGTAGAACGAGCAGTACAAAGCGTCGCGGCAAGTTAAACTTTTGCTGACAAACTATACTATCGATTCGGATTTACGTGACCGAATGACGATGTCGGAGCGCACGCAACAAGCGCCACTAGCGTGGGCGCCGACCCCAGAACTACATCCGATCAAAAGGTCAACACTGGGCTTAAAAAATAGAGCGACAGATCGCTCTGCTTTTACTTTGCACTTTTTGCAAACTTATGTCCGAATGGCGATGTATGCCCACCACCCATTCGCCTGATGTGCGAACAGAACCGAGCGCACAGCGGCCTCTTCAGCTCACTTCGATTTTGGTAAATCTTCATTAATACACCGTCAAGCGAATGGGCTGGCCATCAATCACTCCGCCCCTCTGACCTGTCTACTGCCGCAGGCATGCACCAGGATCAGGACTGTTCCGCACCGCAGCTTTGTGCTGTGTTACAGCCTAAGATTTCAGAATTGACGTGCGAGAAACAAGACGCACTGGAGTGAGAAGGGACTTTGTTTTTACTGTAATTGTACCTAGGCGGGCGCCGTTGAGGACCGTAGCAACATGGCTCAGCCGCTGCAAACAAGGGCTGTTCAGGGGCCCAGGATATATGCGTGAGCTTGTGTGCATGCATTGGAGGCGACCACAGCAGAACAAGACAGTGAAGGTTATACCACTGCTCTCCCTCTCCCATCTGCCGATTTTGGGGAGAAAAACAACTTGTGGCCTGTGGCATTCTGAGCAAACCACACCACTTGCAATTCATGGGACACTTGCTCTGGGAAAGGCCTACACAGTGTCTCCTAAGGCTGCACAACAGCTGGCTTGCTGATGAGAGCATGCAATTTGCCCACTATCACACATCTGAGAGGACTTCACTGCAGCTATCACACCCTGTCCATTAACCTTGAGCTCACTGATCATGATGATCATTGTTATGGGATGTTGATGTGGTCCAGTACTCCATTCCGCTTGTGTTCAACCTATGTGTTGGCATCATGTTCCACTGTACTAGGCACTGTTGTGAACTCAGCAGCTTTCAAGGAAAGAAGAAACTACACCTGAATTGTCCTGCTCTGTCACACTTAATGCTTCCACCAGTTTGAAATGCCTTAGTCAAGACTGCAGGGGAGAACTTCCTAGTTTTGAAATGAACTATACACAATAAGTTAAAAAGCAGCATTTCATCCCATTGATCATCCATTGTGCTGCCAAAAACAAAACTAATCTAAAACTGCATACATCAATGGAAAATTGTCATGTTGTTCCTGATGATTCACATTCAAACAGGTCACAAAAGCATTTCAAAGAAACAGCACAGACACAACATTTCAAACCCTAGGTGCCATACAACACACTCCAAAAACCCCAAAACATAGTGATTGTGAAAACAAAAGTCACATGAAGTTTAATCAGCCTTGTTTGAATTTGACCAACTGATTTTGTCTAGAGCTGAAAATTATTACATAGGTAATCCTGATTCATGTTCCCAAAATTGATTTAAAATGAAACACAGGAACAAAGATGCCAGATATAAAGAAATGCTGAGATTTCACATAAGACAGCATAGATATTCGAGACACAAGGAAGGAAAAACATTATTTCATCATGATTTACACATAGTTTTCAACCCGGTACACCAAATAAGACAATATAAAATTATTGATTTTTTCCACACTTCATCACACATTCATCAGCAATGCTTACCACGCATTGTGTGGCCCCGGCCTCATCATTCTCTGACACACCATTACCAATCATATTCACCGCTGGCTGAAGCCAACAAGTGCAACCAATGATTCTACCCAAGGCCTCCTATTTCGTCACATGATACAAATCCTCACCCCTACTGTCAACACACCATCCCATTGGACAACAGCAGACGAATTTCGCATCACACCAAGGTTGCATAAAAGCGGAAAAATGGGTTGATGATTCTGGTGCTGTCCTCGCTTTACGTTACGTTTGCATGATGTCAGTGGTGCAAAGACTTTAATGGGCCGAGGATTGTCATGCGCGGTACGTATTTTGTGCTGCGTAATCCGAAAATAGCGAGCAAATTGTTCGCGGAAGGTGCGCTTAAATGGCGAGCTACGGGTGTGATGTGCTTTCAATAACGAGAGAAGTTCTGCAGGATTAGGGGGGTAGGGGGGGGGGCTCAAAGACGCTCCGAGTACTCAAAGTACTCTAAGGAATAGACAACTTTGTCTCTTTTCACGAACTGTCATAAGCTTAGAGCTAATTATCGCAAATGTTTGGGGCTCGACCCCCCCCCCTCCCCTCTTAACGCAATAGTTCCGCACCTCAGGGAAACCGCTCTTCAGAAGTGAAAACGCACATACGAGGATTACTCGAGACGGGCGGCCCGAACAACTGTCTGCTTTCGCACCGATAGTGATCGCACTGTTAGTGACAGATATGCAGGACCACCGAGTCGATCGCGTATGATCTGAAAACGAGGCATGGTGCTGACCTTTGCAACCCTCGCGGCGAACCACTACGACGTGTTTCGATTTTATGCGGCAACATGTCGCATCGCCGTGCCTCTGCCGACTGCGCGAGTGAGTGGCGAGTCTGCTGTCTGCTCCAGCTAACTTGCTGGCGCCAGATACATTGTCAGTATTGTCAAGATGCGAGACCAGAGGCTTAACGGTTGACTTCACCCATGCAGTCACCGCAATCGTTCATGCCTGGATTTTGGAATAACCGTGCTCGTTATATACCTGTCCACATAGCCGCCGTGCTTGGTCTGTGCCTGTCTGCATATTGCCGTGCTCCGCCTATCTGTACCTATCCGCACAGCCGTCGTACTCGGCCCGTAGCTGATCATATTCCGCCGTACCCAGTCCGTATACCTGTGTGTGGAGCCGGCCGCGGTCCTTGGTTACCGTGTTACCTTGTTACGCAAAGTTACTTGGTTACCGTGTTACGCACAGTTACTTGGTTACCGTGTTACGCACAGTTACCGTGAATGTATGTTGCCACGTATGTTGCGTTTTTGAGGTGTTTATGTGCACCTTATAAGCGTCATGTTGGCGTTTATTTTGTACTAGCACCAACACGGACGTAAGCCTAGATAGCCAAACAGCAGTGAACGGTATTTCATATGATTGTCAAAACGCTCCAATGATTACTTCACCTTTTTCCCTGAGGCCTGAGAGTTGTTTGCATGGTTCGCCCCTTTTAAAGTCACGACGATGTGGACCCGCTGACCGGCCATGTTAATCAAAGCACGCTTCAGATTAACACGAGTTCGGGGGGGGTGTCAAATTGACCCCCCCCCCCCCGAAGTTGTTTCCAGAATGGCTTACGAATGGCACGGCGTAGCCGCGCCCAACTTTGCGTAGCTGTAGGCAATTCAATAGCTGATCGTTTGGCATCAAAAATTTAGATGTATCTTGTAAGGTTGCTGACCTATGGCAGGTCAAAGTCAGGCCATGGTTTCAGCGGAGGGAGGAATCATTCAATCTCATTCAACAACGGAGTGTTAGACGAAGCCATACATCTCTGAGATGCTTTCTTATGCAACACAGCAGTTGAATGAGCATATTACCTTGACCTAAAGCCAGGTATGAAGGTCACGCCAAGGTCCAAACCAACCTGCTTTGTTACTCTAGGGCTTGCTGTATGGGATAGTTTCTGGTGCTCATTTCGAATTTATTGATAGCAGGAACCGCATTATACATCATCCATGGACTTCTTTTATGTCAGAATAGGTCATTGACCTAAAATGACCCGGGTCAGCATTTGGTTTTAGGAACATACTGCCTAGTGTAATCTTTGTCGCTTAGTCAAATGCAAAACTCAAAGCAATCTTGCATTATTTTGGCCACCTCGACCTCCAAAAGGTCAAAAAAGGTCACTGACCTTGGATGAGCATGTGACCTTTTGCTTAGAAACGGTTATCTTGGTTCTGGGGCACTTTGGAGCCCAACCTGGAACTTGACATTGTTTAACTGTTTTTGACCCAAAAGTCATGACCTAGGAACTTGAAACTTTGATCAAGTGAGCTCACGTACAGGTCAATACAACCTTGAATTTGATGTCTCTAGCTTTCTTAGTTCCCGAGATCTCAGGGGGGTCAAATTGACCCCCTACCCCACCCGAGCGAAAAGTATCTAGCTTATGTCTGTCTCAACTTATGCGAGAAGGGAAACCGGATATACAAAAGGTGTTTATAAAAAAGGATATACATAAAAGGATGTACATATAAAAGGATGCACAAAAGGTTTGGGCCACGTATATCAACGGACAGAGTATGTTAGAAAGCTTGCCAAGTTATTGCTTTAGTCGGCAAATTGGCATAAGCGCGTAAGTGAAAATGGGTGGCCTCCAGCCAGCCCAACAGCCGTGTTTTTACGCATCACCTCTTGCTGACGTTTCGCGAAAACGGCAGTGTTAGGAAAAACAATCAGTCGCGATATGCGAATGCATTTTAATCTAAATAGCCGCACAAACGTAGATTAAACATCGGCTCAAAACCATGCGCTTGAGGTAAGAAACGCTGGTAACATCAACGACAAACGATAGCAGTTGTGTGTGTCTCCAAACACCGTCACCACTATCGAAAACATCATTCCGCTTTGACACTAACGCGGTCATGTTCTGGCGGTGTCGCATTCTTGTGAACACGTACCCTTGGGATACGTGCCGTTCCACCGCTGCAGACGTCACCTGTGTGGCGAGCTGTACGTCTCTCCTCGCCACACAGCCTGTGCATGCACTGGGTTCGGGACATCGCATTACCAGCACACTACAGGCGTTGGACTCAAGAACGCAGCGAGTGGCGGCTCAGTTCAATACACTTACGATAGATCGGTAACATCGGTGTAGTTGATGACGTCATAAATGATGTCGGAAACTGGTAACACCGTACCTCTTCCCTTTCCTGAGCTCGGCGGCGAGCAATCTCAGCCGTGGGTTCTTGACGGATTTCCTCGGTGGGATTGACGAGCACGGAAAGAAGCATGAATTCTGGGTGAGGTTAGTAGCCATTCCGCTGGATGATCGGCCGGACCAATGGTCGGAACGCCTCGGCCGCGCTGGAGCACAGTCTCTGAGGAGCTACACGCCGTGGAAGATTTTTGGGAGCCTTTTACAATGTGGGCGACTATTAACCTAGCACCAGGCACTTGCGAAATGCAGTATCCAACCACACGGCTATTTTTCGAGATTTAGTATCAAACGCATTGAAAAACGGCTGCAAAACTGTAGCTGGCAGCGTCCATCAACTCAGGCATTCAGCCCCGTTGCTCTGACGTATGGTCCGACCAACTATCCAGCAAAATGGCTTCTAAACTCACGCTGAGTTCATGCTTCTGGCAATACCCGCTGACTCTGCTCAGGAAATCCGTCCAGACGCCGTGACTGGGCTTGTCTGCTACCGGAATCAGGGGTGTAGCCAGGTGTAGTCATGCCAGTTGTCCGACGTCAAATTTCGCGCGGCAACTCCGCCCATCTTATCAAGTGGTCGAAAGAGTTTATGACGAATCGTAACTCTCCGCACCACTGAGTGTCGCAGATCTGCAGAGTGCGGGTCATACGATACCGCCCATCCGGTGACAGCACACAGGTCGCAGTACGAGGAGTGCAGCCAGCACGCAGACGGGGTCTGCAGCGGTGAGGCGGGAAGGACGCTATGGGCACATATAAGTGGAAGTGCGACACCAGCGTAACATGCCCTTGTTTGAGTCAAGGCAGCGAAACAAGCAAGGCTGCATAATGTAGAACAAAAGCTCATTTTCGAGCGCTACATCGCAGCTCTGAGGCACACATGGCAGACAACTATCATCGCTCTTCGTTGTTTGTGCTTTGTTTATAATGCTTCCGGTGTCATAATGTGGGAATCACCTTGTTATCACCTTCAACGCTTGAGTGATAGGCGTTTTAGGTTGCCCATGCATTAATAACAGACGACTGTTATGCTTCCAACGATAACAGTTTTTAAGGGTTTAGAGTCCTCTCGGTCAAGACTGACCATCTCAGGATTATGGGAGAGTGGAGAGGGCGAATGGTGAGACAGTCCCGTCATTCTAGGGAACCTCCGCTCACGAGGCAAGTCTCGACAGAGGAGCGCTCGCAGGTGCACGTAATCTGGCCCCACCACTCAACTCTGTCCCTGGTTCCATAGCCTGACATCGTCATTGCTTTGTGAAAGAGGTTTAATTTTGACCAAACAAAAGACGGCAGCCATCACCCGCTCTGGCCTCAATCAACCCTTCATCCTGACATCTCTCCGGTGCGAACTGCGGTTGTCAGCGTTCAGCTGGTGTTTGTGTCATGCCTGGCAGCGCGTTCGTGCGCCCCCACAAACCTCGAAGAGGGAGTCCCTCTGTGAGGTAGCCGTTCAGGGACCGTACTGTCTTCTTGAATATGAGCATAACTGTTGGAGGTCAGCCAGCTCAAACTGGCCTAAAACCATCTACTTCTTTAAATGTATGCGTAAACCACCCACCGCTTTGCCCCTAATAGTTTTCAAACATTCTGTACCGAAATATGAGACTGATGATATACTCCAATAAAAATACTGTACCGGTCAGCGTGGCGGCCAGGCGCCACGCACGCTATCATAACGCCAGGCGGGTGGTGACTGGTGACTGGTGAGTCGGTGACTGGTGATGAGCCCAAGCCGCTGCGTGCGCCCGGCATACCAGTGAAACGATGGCGCCGGAACGGTATCCGACCACTGCGGCCGGAGCGAGCGCCGTAATTGTCTTGGACGATCATACTTTCTGCGCGAGCGTTGAAGCACCTTCAGCCCGCGATTTCAAATCTGAAAATGGGCTCGCTTGACGCCTCCCGTGAGGGGCCATGGGGCATTTATGACTATAAAACTCGGCGGCATTGCTCAGAGCAAGCCCAT